CCCCCCCCCCCCCCCCAACCAAAAAAAAAAAAGTAAGGCAACTTGCGATTTGTGTTTTACAATATGTCAACATGTTGCGGAATCATTAATTCAGGAAATAATTGTTTTTCTTTTTCAAATTCTCTTAAAAAACTGAAAAGTAATTGTTTTATTGTAAAGAAAACCAAATACCTACAGATATTTCGAATTTAAAGACACCCATAAGCTCGGGCGACATTAAAACTAGTGATCTCTAAATATTAATTCGTGGAAGTATTATTAATAATTGTCATTTGTTAATAATAATCTTACAATACAGTAACAGTGCATTTATTTATAAACACGTGCACTGGTATTAAAAGAATAAGCAACTTTGTTTATATGTAACTAGATTGTAAGTTAATTTTTTGACTATGTCAAAATCAACCCGCTCAAGTATGGGACGCCAGTTTGAGGTAGCCAATCATCCCCATCCAAGAAGTTAAAGACAGTAAAATTAGCCGCATCAGTAGCATTGATAACATGATAACCAGACCATGTCACTCGGTTACTAGTGTTTGAACCAGGTCCAGTATTATTATACTCTGCGTAGTACAACGTGCTTAGGGCAAAATCCCCACTCCATTCTTTCCAACCAGAAGGTTTTATCAAACTATCCATGAAAGACTGCATAAAAACTGTCCTTGAGTATTCCTTCCATGGCCTCCCAAGGTAGGTGTTCACGGTTCCAACCACAGGAGCCAAATCATCAGCAGCTTTTATAGTTGCGTTGTGTATGGAAGTTCCTGTGTTTTGGTTTGGATCTGTTCGGCCTTGTGCAGTGATGGCATTGAATTGTCCACTCATGGGAAGGCGGGGATATATGTTACATGTTTGGAAAACAACAGCTGCATTTCCGAATATGAAGTCAACGGTTCCATAGATGTCACATTCACGGTAAAACTGTCTAAGAGAGTGCGTGTACAATGTGTCTTGATACCCTTCAAAGCTGCAGCTATAGAAGGTGGACATGTCAGCTCCGTTTCTCACTGCAACTGCTTGGTGTTTACTTGGCCCCGCAGTGTTTCGAAATGTTATGTTAACTGCTACGAACCCTTGTGCCACCACAGCTACAATACAAGTGCACATGAAATTACAAATAAGTGGTTGCCGCAAAAATTTATAACTCAAAAGCTGGATTAATTATTAATTTTATTTTGTTTTATAATCATGTCACTGTTATGATCACTAATTTTTGTGGACAACCTCTAACTGATTATTGTTAGCAAAATCTCTCTTTTTAATCATGTTTAAACTCAACACCTCACTCTAGTGGGCCGAGTCTTTCATGCTATGTTATGCAGTCTTAGTTCTGAATAATGGTTTTCTAGCTTTTTATCTTGAAAGTAAGTTGGATTAAACATGCATGTGTTAGAAAGATATGTATGTGCAATGATTTAACTTTTGCTCACCAAATGTAGCTGAGTTGAATGTTGTGAAGTTATCGACAACATTGTGATCACCGGTGATAATCGTTTGGTTGATCCCATCTCCAACCATCATCAAGTACTTTTTGTTTTTGGCTATGGAAACATACTCTTGATACACACCTTGTGTGACAAAAATTAGAAAGTAGCCATTACTAGCAACTGTGTTATTTGGCGCAGCTGCTATAGCATCGTTGATAGTGGTGAAGTTCCCGCTTCCATCTTGGCTAACAACCACGATGTCATTAACCAATACACTTTCGCTGCTATCTTGAAGTAGCTTTCTCCCGTGACCTCTAGCAGAATCGTAAATGGCACGTACACGGTTTGACATCTTTAATGGTAAACGACCGTTGCGGAAACCCAAATGCCTCCCATTGGATTGAAATGATGTTTGGATTTTCTTCTCAGGCACCCAACCTTTTGTGAACAAGTCAAGGGAAACACTGTGAAGCTTCTTGTCATCAGAGAGTGAGGACAAAAGATTGCTCTTCACTCTTTGATCTGAATCTGTGGTTTGTAACCCTTCTAAACAAGTTTCTTCGTTTGTCAAAACAGCACTAAGTAGGGTTTGTTGTTCTTCGGCTTGAGCGTTGGCAAGAACATCGCTAGCATTGTCAGCAGCATCAAGTGCGTTTGATAAGTATTCAAAGTTTAGTTCAGCGAGGAATTTACAGTCTTCAAGGGCTCCAATTGTGGGTAGGGACAAAGAGGATTTGTCTTGAAGAAGTGAATTTACTGAGTTCAAGAATTTTCGGGACTGGGACAAGGACTTCCGGATAGAAATTCTGCCATAGTCAATGATGGTGCCATTTTGGTTAGCGAGCACAGTTTTGCAGAAGGAAGGGTCTACGGTGGAGTTGCAAATGGTTTCTGGGGGAACGACTTCATGGTTATTATTAGCAGCTATGGAAATCGGTGCGAAGAAGGATAGCACAAGGGTAACACAGAGTGTAAGAAGGGACAAGTTCGTGAAAGCCATTGGATTTTTTGGAAAGAAGGATTATGCTAAGGAAACTTGGTATGGGAATGAGATTAATGCATGTTGAGGGCCACTTATATAGACATAAAACGAAGATCAATTTGATGTTTTAAAATGGTAGGTCATACTTCGTAACCTGAAATTAGAACGAAATCACACGTATTCAAAATGTCAACTAGAAGGAATTTGCGTGTGCCTAATTGATTTGATGTGATTACCATGAGCGTGAGCGCAATCAACTCAATACGTACCAACTCGCCATTATGAAATATTTCCGTAGCATAGTTGAGATAAAATATTCATTGAGATACCTATAATCGTGCATGAATGCGAATGTTCAAAATAATGATGATTATTTGTATATATTGTAAAAAGAAAGAAAGTAAATAAGTACTAAATAACATCATCTCTTAAATATGTAATTAAAATTTTGATTATTATATATTTGTATATATAAAAAAATATTTATTGAGAAAATATTAGATCCTTAAATAAATTTAACTCCATCGATAAATTAGTTCTTAATTTTGGATTAAAAGATAACTGATTAAAAAAATTCCTTTAGAATTAATATGATTCTTAATATTACAAAGAAAATTAATTTGCTCAATAAAATTAGCATTGTCTATTTTTCCGTGGGAATAATAGCTTTTGGCAGATCTAATAAATGGGTTTGAAAACAAGATCCATCGGGAAATTTCTAAAAGGAATTTTTTACATGGATTTAGAACCAATGTAAAATAGTTATTTCAAATTACAAAATTATTATTATCATATGTCATTTTTTTATACCAGCTATGCAAAATACTGTTTTTGTAATAGTATTATATAAATATTTTTTTTTCATTCTTTATGTAAATACAGGTGAAGGTCCAAACAAAATTACTGGATATGTAATAAAAAAAAATGGGAAGAGTGTAAATTTATTATTAAAAAAACATTAGCGCTGATGATATAATTCTCTTTTAATTAATTTCAAATATTTCAAATGCGCGAACAATATATTAATAAAGATGCATATATACGCATAAAGAATAAAAATTATTTATATAAAGATTAAAATTCCAACACAGGCCTAGGAATTTGCTTTCACCCATTTTTTCCTTTCTAATTTTTGGAAATTTTTTGTTCCTATCGAAGTGTTTTTTTCATCGTGGAGGATAAATCCAAATAAATTGTCAACTCGAATTAATTTGTCGAAGAGATGAATATTGTCTCAAGTACAAAATATATCAAGTATATTTTGTACGTGTTTTTGTTTCTCATCTTAGCAAAATAGTTATTACCTTTTTTTCTATCATATCCGGTAATAGATCGGATTTAGAATGATGCATGACTTGATTTTTATGGGGTTTTGTCTAATGATGTTTATATTCATCGAATTTTATGGGGTTTTTTTTAAAGTCAGTATGCATCGACGAATTTGATCCATAATGCAAATAAGAGAGACTTTTATTTGGTACGTAGTAAATAAAACTGATATAATATTAATATTATATTAATTGATAAGAAAGAGAGACTTTTATAATATTAGTAATTTTATTAATTGATAAGAATGAAACTGATATATTACTAAGAATTTGTTTTTGTCTCTTGCTTATCTGATAGCATGCATGGAATATTATTTTAGTTTGTCAACTACGGGGTTGGTTCCCAGCAATCATAAGAGACGTAAACACCTAAAATAAGTCACGAAACCATCGCTTATTTGATCAAGATATGCGATCATTGTGTTGTCTCGTCGTCAAAGTATGACAAAAATCCCAGCGAAGTCATATAATAATAATTTTATATAACTAAAATTTTACTATTTATGATTTATAGGATAAATGTTTTTTGGATGACTAAGATTTATAATGAAAAAATATTTTAAATATATAAATTATAAAATAATTTTTAATATATAGTTTAGATTTATGATAATAATTTATATTATAATGTATAATATTATTTTAATTATTGATAATTTAAAAATAGAAATAATTTTAAAATATGAAAATAATATATAAAAAATAACATGTTAAAATAAAATTTGCAGAAAACACTTTCGTTAGACCTTGTGAATTGAAAAAAAAACATTCTTAAGCCACTACAACAAATTTTGTTATTAACGACAATTATTTAATAGCAATAATTTAATTGTCGTCATATATAAAAATATTAATGGCTAATATATAATAGCCACTAAAATGCATTTATATTACACTAAAGTTTACTATTAACGACAATTATTTATTAGAAAAAATTTAAGTCTCACATCGATTAGAGATAAGATAATTAAATAGTATATAAGTGAGTAATAATTATCACCTTACAGGTTCATTTTATAGGGTTGACTCCTAATTTACTATTCTAAATTGGTATCAAATCACTCATTATTACCAAATTTAATAGTGTTATAAAACAATTAGAGAGCAACTTTCATCTTATAAATCTCACATTTTTTAAGAGACAAAATAATTAAAAAAAATAAATTAAAAAATATATAAATAAAAGACAACTCTCATCTTACAAATTAATTTCACACCGAGTAGAGATAAAAAAAATATATAAGTTGTGAATTTAGAAAAGGAAATTATAGGAATAAATTATTTAAAGTAAATGAGACAATTGAAAAAAAATAACTTTTAATAGCCTTTAAAATGGCTACTAGAATTGCCATTAAAAAAATAATTTTTCCGACAATTTAGTAGATTTTTGCTAGCATTTTATATAAATGTCGGTAATAGTATTAGCGACACTAGATACACCAGCATTTATTTAAATGCTGGTAAAAAAATAATGACTATTTATATGACCGCTAAATAATAAATTAATTGTTACAAAAAATTAATTTTGGTGTAGTGCAAGTATTATATATAGAAAATAAAACATTCTAATAATCCGTTGGAAATATTACTTTGCCGTCTGAATAAAAATTGTTTAAGTCATAAGTAACTTTCTTAGACTTGGAAAAATATTTTTCATATTTTTTTAATAAATATGAATATTTGAATTAAATATTTTTTAGTCCTTTGAGATAAATTTATTTTTGTCTTTCAAATTTAAAAGTAATTTGTTTAGTTCTTATAATTTTTTAAAAAAATTATTTTAGTTTCTCTTTCCAAATATCATTATTGAATCTGTCGTACGAAATTATTTAATAATGTATTATTAATGAAAACATTAAATTCAATCGATGTTATATATGAAGATAAAAAAAAATTAAAAAAAACGTAACGCGAAAAAAAAAAATCCTTCAAACTGATTTTTTACATTACGGGAGTGCTAGTATAAAAGTAAATACTAATTTTTAAAAGTAAAATTTAATTAAAATTTTAAAAATATATGTATATATTTGACTGAAAACACAATTACTGTAAAATAAAGGGAAAAGGGTGAGAATAATTGACAAATATTAGAGCACTTAATTAAAATTTTGCAATGAAAAAGAAATTATTTAAATAATTAGGTTAACTTAAGAAATGAAAATCAGGAGTAGTACTGTAAGTAGATATATAGGAAAATAAAAAAGAAATGTTTCTTTTAGCTAAGGTAATGACAAATATTAAAATCACAAGTTGATAGTGTGAACTGTGAAGTGTAGATAGACAATATATAGTATGCCGAAAAGCATCTTGTGAATGAGCAGCAGCGTCGGTGATTAAAAAAAATGAGAAGCAATATTTGATTATCTGAGTGCATTTTTTTTTATAATTGATAGAAATTACAATGATGATAGGAGAGTTCAAACAATTAAATATTAGTTGAGACATGTAATCTGCCCGACAATTTTTCCTATATTTGATGCAAATTTACTTGAGTTTCGTGGGTTATTGCGTAACTTTTCTAGTCTCTTTTCCATTTTTGGACACTAATTATAAGGAGGGATATTTATTGTATGATCATGTTCCCGATAATGTATGGCTAAAGATATTGAAATGGTCATGAGAAGACAGAAGATAAGCGAGCTGTTGTCAAAACCAGCTATTAGATGTACTAATTATCTTGTTTTTGCAAAGTTTAACACACAAATTCTACCTTGACCCTTTCTTTTCGTATTAAAGGCTTAAAAAATAAGCTAACTAGCTGCTAAGCTTGACTGTATGAAAGTACGAGGAAGATGGAGCGCTGTGCATCCCAGTCAAGCGCTAAACAACTAGCTAGAGATTCAATACCTCTTTACAACTTGGAAGCGAAGCTTCTTTGCAATAACACAATGCGTTCAACAGAATCAAAGTGTGCGTAGAGTTTACCAAATCAACATAATAAAAAAAAGGGTATACAGCTCGCGATACAATAATCTACTCTGTCAACTTAATTAGTTTACATATAGTCATTTACATGTTTGATTTCACTTTTATGTGTTTTTTCATATTTTGTGAAAGCTGTTCGAAAGCTTTACCTTACGGAACATTCTATATAATAAATAAAAAATAAATTATATAAATGAGTTTGATATTATAACTTAATTTCAAACTTTAAAATATTAGATAAATAGTTAGATTTTTTTACTTATTCAAATATATTCAATTCTAATATAAACATCACAAATAACATATTTTAAAATTTTAAAATATTAAATATATGGATCTTTCTCTTTTATATATTACTGAACACATCTAACTTTAATCAATATATAACTTATTTTACATTTGAATTTCAACATATAATTTTTCAAAAATTAATATATAGTTATAGGTTTCACATCTCAATCTCAACTTAATTCTTTCAGACATGCCATGATCCATTAGTTCATATGTAAACACCGATACTGGAGTTTAAATTAATGCCTAACATGCAACCAAGATGACGCGTTTTTTCCTTATGCTGTACCTGACGATTTAGTCTGCAGAAAAAATGTAATTGGGGCTTTACAATGGAAAATGTTACGAAAATGATTGCTCAAATAGGTAGAATAGATAGGGAACTTTCTACGTAGACTACGAAGAATATGCATGCACATGGAATCTTATTCGCAGGTTAATTAGATTTGGACCATCCAATACAAAGTCACGATGATGATGATGTTATGCTGTAAGCAAGAAATA